CACAGCACTGCAGGTGTGAAGCAGTGCCTGCCCTAACTCCTTCAGCCTGGAGGTGGGATCTGCTCAGACATCTCGTCCTCACAGCCCCGGGGGTGCAGATGTCAGCAGGAAAGTCTCTTCAACAGAGAGACCTGGTCTTGTCTGCAAGCACCACCTTCTCCCTCCTCCTTAGGGCATCGGTGAAGTCACTGTTTCATCACCATCAGGGCAGCCCACGTGGCTGCAGTGGGCACTGACATCATGTCATGTGCCTGGGTGAGATGTTTGTCATGAGAACAGGGAAAAGGTTTCTCTAATTAATGCTAATCGTAGTACAGACTGGAGGTTTGTGTGCCACATTCCTGTTAGAAGGAAAGCCAGGGATGCTGGGGCACTGGGAGCTGCCAAATTTAGAGAAATACCAATTTAAGAGGCGAGGTCCAGGGTGGAACATTAATGCTTTTTTCTTTCCTACTCAGAATAAAGGTTGTCAGTGAAATCAGCAGCAAAAATGTTGATTGTGGTGTCAACCCTTAAAATCGGTGTTCTGGGAGGAGGGCAGGCAGATGGGAATGTGCTCTCTGGGCCAGTGTCAGCAAGTCCAGAGCACTGCCAGAGCCACTCCTTTATTCTGCCCCTGTTTCAGTGCACTAAACTGGGGAGGTGCCTTGGAAACTCCTCCATTAATCACTTCACCGACTGGTTAGACACAAATAAAAAGCAGCTGAGCTTCCATGAAGGTGAGAGAGAAACACAAACTGATTTTTGCTAAGATTAGGATCTTCCAAGAGAAGATTTCAACCCCAAAATAGAACTGCTATTTCGGATTTCTACACCCCCTGAATCCTTTGGTTTTCCCCTGCTGTAGGTGTAGGGAATGCTGAGATCCCCTGTTTTGAACCCCAGCATCAGAGGTTGTTTCCAATTATTCACCAAAGCAAGGCACTGAGGGTGCTGGATATCCAGGACACAGGATATGGACAAGGCTGAATCCATTGGTGTTGGGATAGTCTTGACAAAATAAATGTGAAACCACAAGAACTTGCAGCCTCTTGTTCCAGGACAAGAGGAAATGGCTCTTTTGGACCTTTTCAACTGTCCTGGGGCTTTTAGATCAGTGTTGGGCACTGCTGCAAGTATGGCTGGATCAGGAAATTTTGGGGGAGGACTCATCACACAGTTTGGATGAGCTCAGCCCCTCCTGCCCCTCCCTTTTGCCCTGAACATCTCACTCAGCTAAAAGCTTCCTCAGCCAGGGGGATGCATTTGGGGCAGCCAGACAATGCTGTCTAAGGGGGATGAATCTGTGGCTGAGTGCAAAAACCATTCAGGGCGTGGCTTTTCCCTTATTCTCCATTGCAGGAGTTGATATTTCTGGACATGCAGTGGTCTGTGTGAGCAGCAGCTCCCCTCCAGATCCCAGCTGGTTAATCCTGGCAGCACAGCAGCACCAGCTCATCCAATGAGTTCACGTGCCAGTGCTTCAGGTCTGATTCCGAGGTGATTCATTGCCCCACAGAAACGAATTCCTCAAAGTCTTTCTCCTGAAAGGACTTGCAGCTCAGAGTCTGTGTGTGGGTTAGGAACACACTGGATTCCCAGACCAAGGCAGCCCTGAGGTCACATCTTTGTCACTGCAGACCTGTGAAAGAATGGTCTGATCTGGTGTCAGCTCAGTGCTCAAATATTCCACCTTGGGGAGGCAAGAGAACCTCTTGGCATCTGCCAGCCTGTTCCTGCTGTGTCCTGGCTGTGCAGCTGGGGCAGCTCCTGGATCATTTTAATGCCAAAGGAAGAAGATCCTGTTTGGGGTATTGCCCTGTGTTCTCAGGCACATGGATTCCTTTGTTTCTCTTGGCTAATGGAGCTTCAAACTGGCCCACCCTGGATGCTCTGTTTGCTCAAGGCCAAGCTTGGCTTTGTCCCCAAATCTGGGATGAAGAGAGGAGGGACAGATGAGCAGAGTCCCTCAGTTTGGAGTGGTTTCTGACACAGGGATGGAGACATGACAAGTGCCAAAGGGCATGGGGGCATTTGGCCTGGTAAAACAACACACCTAAAACCCAGGGCATCCCTCAGGGACACACACCATCTGTGTCCCATCCTGGGGCAGAGCAGAGAGGGGCCGAGAAACAGCTTCTGCATTTCCCCAGCAGGATTTCCCCCTCACTGTTTATGCCACCTGGGCCACTCCTATTCAGACCACCTGGATTTCTCCCACATTTCAAGCCCCACCTTGGAGGTCTGGGTACCTCACTCTGACACAAAGCTCACCCTGGGCTGTGTAATAGGTTTACAGTTCAATTTTTTTTCCAACTCCTTGGCCCTCCATGAGGAGCAGTCCAAGGGTTTGAAAGCCAGGGAGACGTGGCAGCACCTGCTAGGAGGGAATAAGCAGGTGGAGGCTTGGCTTCCCTCTGCTTTTCCTAAGCACTTTGTACCTAGTGCTTAGATAAACACCATTTACTTCTTGGTGCTGCAAGACTGGGCAAGGAGGTAAAACACACGGATTTACAAACTATCTCAATAGTACAGACATGCAATTAGGAGTCAAACGTGGCCTGTGTGGCCTGATCCATGGGTTTGGTTTGGGATTGCAGTGACAGGGCTGTCCAGCTGTGTTTGGAAAGCAGTGCAATAACGGGGCACACTTCTGGCTCCCTGCTCCTGCTGCTGATTTAGGGGAGGAGGGATTGAACCCAAGGCTGGAAGCAGTGGGAATGCTGGTGCTTCTGCAAGGCTGGCTCTGGTTTTTTTTAACCCAGGTTACAGAGTTGGGCATCAAAGTTTTCCTTAAGCTCAGGAGCTTTGTGTGCCTTACCATGAAGTAAGTGGGTTTCAAGTGCCACATCCCTCTTGCACCCCATAAGCAGCTCAGAGCAGCTTCTGGGATCAACCCTCTCACTGCAGTTAATTCTTCAGTGTCCCTTGCACTAAAGAGCAGATGGAAAATTATTTGCAGTGCATTTGTGCTCTTCACTAGTCACGGAATATATTTGTTCCTCTCCTGACTCTTCAGTTTTACTTTGCTCTTTTCCCCCTGCAGCTCAGCAGTGGGATCTGCAATGGGCCCACAGGGTGTGTGCAGGGAGCTTAGTGGCTCCTGGGTGGAGCTTGGTGGTGACAGACACTGCTCCCGGGGGGAATTTGGGCTGGATTAACACCAGGGAACGGTTTGGGGGTTAGTGGAGACCACAGCCCAGCTGCTTGGTCACCCCCAGGGGTATTTTGCAGCTCCTTTGCATAGATCAGGGCAGTACTGAGCCACCAAATTCCTCCAGCACTGCCTCAAAACACAGCAAGGGGGAAAGAAGCATCTCCAAAGTGGTTTTGGAAGCCTTTTTGCCTGAGGATATTGGGTAGATTTTCCAGAGAAATATATCCAAGTTGTTGATGTTGTTGGTTGTGTTGTCCAGTTGCCTCTGACCTTGCCCAGCTCAGAGCTGGTTTTCCCTGTAGGAGTTTCCCCATGTCTCTCCAGGGTGCAGGGCTAAGCAGGTTTTGCATTTTGGGGTGGATAATCAGTAAATCACTGGGTTTGACAGACTTTTTCCCCCCTCCTCTTTACTTCTTTACGAACCTGCTGCTCCACTGAAACCTTGGCCATTTAGGAGGCAGGTGAAGCCAAAAGTTGTTACCTGGACTCTGTATTTTTACCCTTTATTTAAGCAAACTTGGACCCTGAAATTGTGAAACGAGGAAAACAACCTGGGTTGTGATTTTTTTTAGTAATCCAACCACCCTTTCCACTCCCTGGGATGGGGTTTGGTAACGTGTTACAAATGGGGCAAGAGAGCTTTGGGGAGCATCTTGCAAGACTCACACCAGGAAATATTTGTTGATTCCTACCTCCCAAGAGGCTGGAATTTCGTGCTGGCACCCTGGGGTACCACTGGAGGAGTTTCACTACTTGGGGAAGCAGCTTTTCCCTCCTGAGGAATCATTTCTGGGCCCCCCCTGAGCTGCTTCCCCAACACATCAGTGTGACGTGTCCCCGTGCCCCGGGGCTGCCCAGCAGCTCAGTGCTCACCTCAGGCACCCTGCCATGTAATAATCTGATTTTAATGGGTGGCCTTAGGCATTAAGACATCACACCATCCACTTCTGCCCACTGCTGCTCTTTCACTGGACGTTTGGCTCGGAGATTTACGACCAACAGAGGGATATAAGACAGTGGGACACAGCTAAGGGTTGGCTGCCTCTGGAAAACCCTCTGAAGGTGTTGGGCAGCTGCTCTCTCGTGGCTGCAGTGCTTGGTGTTTGCAGAGATGATGAGGATAAGTGGAAAAGAGGGGAGACCTTACTCTATATTCTTTAGAGGTTGCAGTTTCTTGATTATATACGAAGCTGGAGTGTTGTCTGCTCTGCTGGAATTGTCTCCTGACATACTGAAATCTGCATCCAGGATCTATGGATCATCTTCAGGATCAATTATAGCTACAATTGGATTGTGTGGGCTTGATATAGGTAAGAGCTGTGCACTTCTGTCCCTTCTGAGCCTAAAGAGATCAAATATCTTGGAATTTGGGAGTTGCAAAAGGGTTTTTTTTAATTAGTCAGTGATTAATTCCTTAGAATTTTGCTTTATTGACTTCTGGAAGAGTGGAAAACATGAGTAAACTGACCAGCAGAGAGAAAACAGATTAGATATAATTATTAAATAAGTCATGCATCTTATTAATTTGAATTAATAGTAAGCATGTCTAATATAAGAAACAGAAGTTCTCTCCTTAATAAGTCATTTGGGCTTGCTGGTAGATTCTCAAAACACAGAGGGGAAAGAAAATACATCAGGGGGGAACACAGATTCAAGAGCCAACAGGAGGAAAAATTTTACAAAGGCTTCTTGTCAGTTTTCTCCCACATCTCCAAAAATTTTTAAGATGCCTTGTGGAGAAAATCAAGAGAAACGGGATAAGAAAACAAGATACTTCTGCTTCCTGCAATTTTGAAAGTCCTTGGAAAATTTGGGTCCACTCATGAGAGGCTTAGCCCTAATGAAAATAATGGCTCTGTGTGAGCATTTCACAAGGTGGTAAAATGCCCCTTTCCCAGGTGGAAGTGCAGCTCAGCAAGTACATAAATAATACATAATAGTATGTAACTAATCATATAAGGGATGTGGAATGATTGCTCTGCTTTGCTTCAGATGAGTTCGAGAATACCCTCCTCAGTCGTCTGGCAACCTCCCTCTGGGGGCTTGTTCCTGGAAAAAGAGTCCATAAAGCCTTAAGGTATGGCCTAGACAAACACCTGCCTCCCAATGCCCACGAGCTGGTGTCTGGAAAGCTGCACATTGTCCTCACCCGTGTGCGCGACTGGAAAAGCGTGACCGTGTCCGAGTTTGCCTCCAAGGAGGACCTGATCCAGGTGGGAGCAGCCACAGCATGGGAGATGTGTGGGATTTCCTGCCTGGCCATGCCCCACAGCACAGAGTCAGGGAATGGGTTGGGTTGGAGGGGACCTTAAAGCTCATCTCATTCCACCCCCAGCCATGGGCAGGGACACCTTCCACCAGCCCAGGTTGCTCCAAGCCCTGTCCAACCTGGCCTTGGACACTCCCAGGGATGGGGCAGCCACAGCTTCTCTGGGCAACCTGTGCCAGGGCCTCACCATCCTCGCTGTAAAAAACTTCTTCCTTATTTCTAATTTAAATCTCACCCTTTTTAGTTTCAAACCCAACCCTAACCCTTGTCTCATCCCAACAGGCCCTGGGGCCTCGCTGTAACCCGCCCCATGATTTCTGCCCTTACCCCTCTGAATCCAGACAGGGTCACAAGCTGAAATAATACAAACAATCAGCCCTTCTACTTGCTGGCTGAATTATCCTGAGTATGCAGGGAGCAAATTGAGGCATTTCACAGGTTCCTTCCCACTTCTCCAGCCCTGGCTGTGGATATCAGGCGTGGTCTGGTGCCCAGTAGTGGTGCCCAATAACCCAGCTGGGGGGGTCTCTGTTTTGGCTTCACAGATGAGCCACCACTCCCAAGGGCAACAGGTTTTGTGGCTCTTTGCTCACCTCTGTCCTTCCTGTCTCACCCACAGGCCATACTGTGCAGCTGCTTCATCCCAGGGTATTTTGGATTTTTCCCTCCTAAGTACCGTGGGGTGGTGAGTACCTTGTGGTTTGGAGACTCTGTCCCAGGTCAGGCCAAGGGCCCCTCTAGGCTGTGCTCTTTCTCCAGTGGTGGCATTGAGGATGTTTACAACCTGTGTTTGCCACCAAAGGTGCTCAGTGCCATGTTCCCCCAGTGTCTACAGAGGGAGGAAGGTGCCCCAAAATCTGACCTTACTGCAAACTGAACAGACCCTCTCACAAAATTGTTCATCCTCCCCCTGTCCCCAGGGTTGGCTCAACTCCTTTCTGCTGCTCTTGCCTCCCAGTTAAAGAGTGCTTTTGTGGCTGGAAGGGAGGAGGTGGTGGGTGTGGACCTGGAGCACACAAAACTGTGCTGCTCCTTCGAAGGGCATCTCTGTACTCCCAGGGCCTCAGCCTGGGTGGGGAAGAAACCCCAAATGGGACACAGCACTGCTCTCCCTGACACCAGGAGGGCCCAGGGTTCCCTGCTGTCCCCCCTAGTGTTACGTGGACGGGGAACTGGCCATGTGGAAAGCTGACTTCGTGTCCCAGAACACCATCACCGTGTCTGCCTTCGCCGGCGAGTACGACATCTGCCCCCGGGACGGCGCCGCCGCCTTCCTCAACTTCCAGCTCTCTGACTGCACTTTGCACCTCTCCACGAGGAACCTCTGCCGCTTACAGCACATTTTTCAGCTCCCCAAACGCCAAGTGAGCTGCTCCTACAGGTACCCAGAGCCACGAGCCCCCTTTTGCCTGGCCCAGCTGCCCTGACTGGCACCTCCTCCCTGCAGGTCATGGACCGGTTTTTTGCCTCTGGCTACCAGGACACGGTCTGCTTCTTAAAGAGACTGAGTAAGTGACTGGGAGTGAGGAGCAGGTAGGTTGGAGGCTTCTCTCACATTTTTGGGGTGCTGACAGAAGGTAAGAGATGCTGCCAGTGCACCCAGAGGGTCCTGGGCAGAGGGATCCCTGCATCCCTGGCATTGTAGGATTATTTGACTCCCAGCCTCTCCTGAAGCTCCCTGGTCACTCTCTGGTGATGTTTGGTCTTTTCTCTGCCACAGTGGGCATGGTAGAACTTTCTCCCATGGAACTCAGGCCCCCAGGACCTGGACAGAAATGCAGACTTATGTGCCCTGTGAGGTGTTTGATAACCCACTGATCACAAAGCAGCAAAGTTTGGTGATCCCTGACCCCCAAACCCAACTCCAATTAACCACGGGGTCACCAGTATCCCTGTTTTCCAGTCAACCCTGTCACAGCTCACACTGCTGGAGAACAGGTTGTTGAGGAACAGGCAGTGAGAGCTGGATTCTCTTCCCAACAGTTGATTTCCCTGTAGATTACTTCAAAGGCTTTAAGCTTTCATTCACCAGTGGATCATATCAGAAAGGTGAGGAGCCCCTGCACTGGAAGCCAGAACTGAGAGAACTTTGCTCCAGAGCCACAGGCCCTGTGGAGGTCACTGAAGAGAATCGAGGGACCACCCAGGCAGAAGATGAAGCCCCACATCACCTTCACCACCCCCAGAAGGGTAAAGAACCAGCACTTCCTTTACCCCACCAGTTTCCACAGGCTAAGTGACACTTGGCCCAGGGCTGTCACTGCCAAGAGGGTTTCTCTGGGACTTGGAGGCTCCAGAAAAGATGTGGGGACATCAGGAATGGGTAAAAAGGCCCCCCTGGGTCAGGGGTTATTAGTGAGGCTTTGTGCTGAACCTGTTTTAGGTGAAGATTAAGGCTTGTAGCTGGCTCAGAAGGGCTCTTTGGAAAAGCAGCTCTTTCCATGGAGAAAGCCATTTATTTACTCAGCTTGCAAGGTAATAACAGGTTCTGTCCACACATCCTTTCATTAAGTGTGTCTCAAGGGTTCCAGGGTCAAATCCAGATTTCTCCTTATCCACTCTGGTTGCAGCCAGAGAAATTCTGAGTGCAAGGAAGGCACATCAGAGCTGCAGGCAAACCTCTACCTGTATCATTTTTTAGCAACACAGGGCAGGTTTAAATCCAAGACTTGTAGTTTTCTGCAATCCTATGCAAAATAATGCCCTCTCCCATTTCAATTTTGAACAGAAAACCAGTGAATCCTCAGCATTTCAGTTCCCAGTTTGTGTTATTATTACTAGAGAAATACAAAGAAGTATCTGCTGGAATGCAACATTTTTTACAATTTTATTATTTATTTCCTTTTTGGTTTTGAGTCTTTCAACATTTCAGAATTTGTCAGCTTAGGTGAATTGTCACAGCTTTTTCAACATGCTGATTATTTAAAATGTTGCCACATAAATAAAAAGTAAAAAAAAAAAAAGACCTGAATATTGTTCTAGGAGGACCACACCAAACGAGGAATATGAAGTGGAAAGAGTAGAACTGTTACCCTTCCAGGTCTAAAAACAAAAGCTTGAAAAACATAAAATAAAAGCAAGGAAGATCTTTCCATGGAAAACAAACCAGCTCTAGGCCCACTAAGAAGTGCAGGACACAGTATGAGGCTGTTGCTTCCATGGTTGCATTTTTAAAGGCTCCATCACTCTGAGCTACGTGGAGCTTTTGGAAGCAACACAGTAGGAATGAGGCTTCTTTGGACTCCTGGGCTATCAGGACTCTCTGTCTCTGGTTTGCAGCTGGGCTGCAACATTTTTCACTGAAATCAGGTCACCTGTGGGAGGAATCAAAACTCCTTTGTTAGGCCAGGGAGCAACCAAGAGGTGAGTCTGGGCTGTCAGTCTCCAGAGGAGAAACACAGGAGGTTTTCCATATCCATGAAGGAAAAGCCCTGATGATCTAGGCCAGGAAAAGGCTGTTTTATTGTTTATCTGTGCAATATCACTGATGTTGCCAAATCAGCAGGGGGATAAACTTGTGAACAACTTGTACCTGATTTCTTGAGTAAGTCCTGTTTCCAAAGGACACAATCCACAAGGATTTGCCTCTCTATCCACATGCCCAGCAGGACAATTGCACAGGGAGTTGCACCCTCCTTAGTCCTTGCACTAGAAGCAGAGTCTGGCATAAAGCACCTGCAGCCAACAGCCAGGGCCACAGGCAGGACTGAGCACGGGCTTGGTTTTGTTTGGCTCCATTGCTTGGATCAGATTCTGGGATTCTTCCCTCCCCAGAGCTGGAGGAGCTCCTGCTGCCTTGGGATGCCTCCAAACCCTCATCCCATCCACCTGAGGCTTCACATTTCTGCTGAGTTCAATGGGGCAAACAGCAGCACAGTGGTGGGAGGGCAATATTTGAGGGATATCAAAACCTGCTTGTCCTGTTGCCCTTTGGACAGCAGGAGGGAGGGAACAGCTCTGCTCAGGTACTTGAATCCAGTTTGTCTCACAGGAACTGCCAGAAGTGTCTGTCAGACAGAATAATGTGGTTTTCCTCCCTTTAGGGCCAGGCCAGCCACAGAAGAGCATTTTTGGCCCCGCTGCTGCCTTTAGCTCCAGTTTATCTTTCAAAGAGAGAATGAGGAACTTGCAGCCCAGCCTGAAGGCAGAGCCTGACCTGCACTGAGGAGCACAAGGATGTGACAGTGACAATGACATCACCAGCACAGGCAGGACCAACAGCCCCTTCTATCCCTGCCCCAGCCCCTGGTGCTTCCCGTGACCCACCTTAAAGGAGGCATTCCAGAGTGGATCCATCCCAACTGGGTGCAGCTGGGTTTCCAGTCTGCTTCTTGGGGTGAAACAATGTCCTGCACAAGGTGATTCCAACTGATGCCAAGATTTATCCCTTGCCTCTGGCAAAGCCTCCTGCTGCCCTTAGCTCCAAGCTCATGCAGAGGAGGCAGCACCAGCTGTGCTTCCTTGAAAAGGTGAGGGATTAATAAAGCAAAAACCAGCTGATTTGAATATTGAGTTGTCAAATATTTCTCTCTTAGCAAATCTCTGCAGGTTTGGAGCAGGAGGGCTTTTTGCTGGGACTGTTTTGGTTTGGGTGTTCCTTGTGGGTTGTTTTTTTGTTGAAGTCCTTGAAGTTTTACTGAGTTTTTATGACTAAGCATCACAGGGGCAGGTGGGACACACTGGGCAGTTCAAACTGTGCTCCTGTTTGTGGCTGAGATTTGCAGACACATTTAGTGGATTTGGGTGTCCAAAAAAAAAAAAAAAGGAAAATTTTCTTTGGGGGATTTTAATTCCCATTTGAAGTGTAACTGCTTGAGTCTGACTGAAATGGGAATATCCTGCCTGGAGGTGCTTGCTAGGAAGCCCAGGACCTTTCCCACCCAAACCATTCCATGATTCTATGAAATAAGCATCCAGGTTTCTTTTTGCAAGCTCATTACAGAGAAAATATTCCCAAGTCCCTGATTTCAACCAAAGATAGCAGAACTTGGTGTATTAACCTTTCACAGAGCATTCAGAGCTAACTTTGGATCTGTTTACATCAAAGCAGCCTTCAGCTGCTCCCCACATTCATACCTGGAGTCCCCAGGGCCCTCTGGATGAAACTTCCCTCTGTTCCATTTCCCTTTGTGCAATTAAACAGGTTCTTTATTCACATAAACAGTTTGTGCTGTTGGGATCCATTTGTTGTCCATTGGGAACCATCAAATAGGGGAGACTCAGGTTGAAGCCAACCCATCAGTCTCTGATGTGCAGCTCGGATTTGGGATAATTAAGAGAGCTGCCAGTTAATTCTCTGTACAGACCAGCAACACAGGGGGTGTTTGCCTGGGCCCTGCACTGTGGGTGGCTGCAAATTACAGACAATCCCCTGAAAAGAACTCATTTATCTGTGAAATGTCAGGGAATGCACAGACTGCAGGACTCTGAAGTAGGAGGAGGTTAATCTTCAGGTTTCTCCATTCTTGTCCACAGCTGCAAATTTGAGGGGGATCCAAATGTTCTCCCACCTCCACAGGCAGGAGAAGCAGAGCTGTGGGGGTGTGTGAAGCTCAAGGATAGAGAATTGGTAAAGTAACTTCAGAGAACTGGACAAAAATTGGTTCCTGCCCAGTGGGATGCTCCCTAAGGCTTCTCCCTTGCTCAGATGAAACTGCTCTGGAAGTTTTTGAGTGGGAGGAAAACACTTAAAATGTGGCCTTTCATGGCAAATTCCTGCCCTGTAATCTGCATTAAAAGAAGGGATGGGAGGCTGCTGGTGATGAGGAGGGAGAGAGGGGAAGGAAACAGGTGCTGGGCTGTGGGTGCCTGCAGGTGAAGCTGCCCAGTGGCTCCTGCAGCCTCTGCTGGGTCACAGGAGCAGCACCAGAGCTTTGCCTCACCTGTCATGTTAGAGCAGGTCAGGCCCGAGCAGGGGCAGCAGCACTGGAGGCAGGATCAGCTCCCAAGTGAAAAAAAACACCCTCCAAAATACTCCACAGAAACCCAGCAGCCGTGCTGGTGTGTGAGATGAGCTCTGGTCTCACCCTTCCCTTCCCGAGGCAGCGGAACCAGCGGCATCAGAGACCCCCAGGGCCTGTCCAGGACAGTTACCTGTGGGGACAAAGGGACACCTGAGTCAAGATCCACAGACCAAGAGCAATGAGCAGCCCCAGGGGTGTCTGACACCAAAGGGCTTCCTCAGAGCTGAGCAGTTTGTGTGGAATCCTTCTGGGCGAGTCTCCTTCCAGCTGCTCATGAAGGGACTTGCAAGCAGGTTTTGGGGAGATACGACTTAAAAGCTGTCGGTGTGACAAGTTAAGTGCCTCAAATCCTTGAGAGTTTAGTGCCAAAACATCTCTCAGGATCTTGGTGAGCGTTCCTGATGTCGTGCCAGGACAAAGCCCAGCAGATAAATATCTGGAACACAATTATGTTGCAATAGGGAAGCAGCACTGAGCTGTTTTGTAGCTCCTTTGAGATATCAAAATAATATAATGGGGGGGAAAAATAGCTATTTTTAACGTGGGCTACTCCACATTTGGAGATTTTAGCCACGCTCAGCATCAGTGACCCATGGGTGAGGTCCCCCAGGGTTTCCCTCCTCTCCCTTTGCTGAGGGTTTGCATCCTCTGAGCTTCTCACCTCCTGTCCACGGCTCTCTTGGGCAAACCAGGCACCAAGGTTTGGAGGAGTTTATGGAGTCCTTGTACCAGGGAGGTGACACCTTCCAGCAGCCCCCACACCTTCTTCACCCTGCAAAAGTAAAATAAACAGCCTGAGTTTAATGATGGGCAAAGGCAGGAAAAGGTGTTAATGGTAAATGCACCCTGTAACAATCTTTTCCATAACCAAGTGATCCTGTGGTGTTCCCACCAGCCATACCCACTCTCCCTGAGAGTTTGCCTTCAGGGAACACTAAATCCCTTCATGTGTCCCTTCAGCTGTCTCACCACTGCTGAAGCCACGACCCCTGGTTGGTGTGTCATTCTCTGATGCCTCTCTCAGGGTGTTCTTACCCCTTCCTGAATAAAGCTGGAAGCCTGTATGGCTGCAACAGGATCCTGGCCAGGGGATCCTGCAGTCCATTCATCTGCTCCTTCTTCCACAAGCCTGTGCCCACAAACGACAACACAGAAGGAAATAAAGATCAGTAACAGAAATAATCAAATAAATGCAAAAATCCCTCTTGTCCAGCTGCAGCTCAGGTAGATGCTTAAGCCCAGACCCAAGTCCAGCTTGAGCCACTCTTACAAAGCCTCTTTGTGAGCAGCTACTGCAGATGTAGAAATATTTACTATAATAAATGACTCAATAGTGTCTGAAATATAACACTGCTCCTCTTGAGGGCTGCAGCAGCCCTAAACCCGAGCTCAGCACCCCAAATCCTCTACCTGGCAGGAAGTAAGGAGTCAGGCTCTCAGGGACCCTCCCGTACAAGCCGGGGTGTGTCCCCTTGGATTGGGTGGAGTTGTTCTTCCCACAGGTGCTGCCGAAGCGGAAATTTCCATCGAAGTAGTTGAACCCAAAGGCATCTGTGGGACACGGAGAGAAAGGGATGATGTTTGTGTCTGTCAAACATCTGCCCATCAATCAGGTCTTGGGGTGGCACTTACTGTTCCTGTACAGGAAAAGGGCAGTGTCCTGGTACCCCTGGGAGAAAATGTCGTTCAAGACCTGCAAGGAGAAAGACTTGAGGTCACTGAAGAGCCCCAACCCAGGCAGGGCAGTGCAGGATCTGTCCAAAGCTGTTTGACCATGGAGAGTCGGGATGGCCCATTTGGGAAGGCAGCAAGCACAGGTTGGTTTCCAACCACAGAAACATTGGAATCACAGAATGGTTTGGGTTGGAAGGGACCTTAAAGATCATCTCATTCCATCTGGTCCTTTGCAGGTTGTGGACCCCCACCTCAGGTTGCCCACTCATCAGCAGTGTCCCCCTCCAAATAATGTCCTTCCATAACAGTTGGTGCTCCCTCCCACCTTTGAAATCTGATTAATAAGTGGTGGAGATTGAGCTGAACCCTAAAGGCAGGAGCAGAACTGATTTCTTTTAACCAAAACAAAGCTGGGAGAAGCCCTGGTGGGCTCACCATGGTGCTGGGTGGGAAGAGAGCGTAGCTGATCCTGCAGAGGTTCTCTATGGAGATCTGGACGCTGCCGTTGAAGATCTGGAAG